ACCTAAGCATGAGAAGATGAAAATGAAGCTCAAAAGTTTGATGTAATTTTTAAGGGACTGTAAGTTGGATTGTTTCTGACAATCTAGTCTTATATGAGTTAAAATGTGAAGTAGAAGTAAATCAATTGGACAGTAAAATGAAGATTGTTTTTGCTGTAATTTTTAAGGGACTGTAAGTTGGATTGTTTCTGACAATCTAGTCTTATAGGAGTTAAAATGTGAAGTAGAAGTAAATCAATTGGAAAGTAAAATGAAGATTGTTTTTGCTGTAATTTTTAAGGGACTGTAAGTTAGATTGTTTCTGACAATGTAGTCTTATATGAGTTAAAATGTGAAGTAGAAGTAAATCAATTGGACAGTAAAATGAAGATTGTTTTTGCTGAGTTAAAATGTGAAGTAGAAGTAAATCAATTGGACAGTAAAATGAAGATTGTTTTTGCTGTAATTTTTAAGGGACTGTAAGTTGGATTGTTTCTGACAATCTAGTCTTATATGAGTTAAAATGTGAAGTAGAAGTAAATCAATTGGACAGTAAAATGAAGATTGTTTTTGCTGTAATTTGAAAGTTACTATCATTTGGATTGATTTTGACAGTCTAGTCATATATAAGTTAAGCTATGAAGTAGAAATAAGTACATTAGACAGTAAAATGAAGACTTAACTTTTTTAACTTTTATCACAGAAAAAAACTGTATTAGTAATTATAAACTTGTTTTGGTTGTTTCAGTATGTGTAGTTATAATTTTTATCACAATAAAAAAATGTATAATTGAGAAGAAAAATAAAATAAAACCAGTGTTGTTTTTAAAAACCAGACTAACTGGCATTGTGAAACTCACAGTATCTTTTGTTTGTGTTTATTAGCAAACCCTGCAGGAAATGGACAAGCGACATGCAATGTTATCATCTGTTTGTGACTTGACTGATACTCTAGTGGGAATAGCTCAACCTCCTGGTCTGCCTGAGCTTACAGAAAGTGTAGCTGAGGTTAAAAAACAGTGGACCACTCTTAAGAGGAAGTTAAGAGATCGTCAGAAAGAAGTGGAGGTTAATGTTTTGAATTGTCTGCTTACACATAAATATTTCCTCAGATTTAAACATATTATGACTTTAAGAACTTAAAATTTTATAAACTAATCATTATTCACTGATTATTAGTTTTTTATCTCATAAATATCGTTTTGGTATTGCTGTTTTTCAACTTTAATTTTTACTTGTACTTAAAAACGTTTTTTGTAGTAAAGAAAACTTATATTCTTCTGGTATGTATGGCTGCTATATCTTTTGGCTGGGCATGGCCTAGTGAATTGCATTCTGGACTGTAAATCCAGGGATTCATGGTTTGTGTCCTGTTGCCTTCAGGGCTGAGATGATCAAATCTCAGTACTCAGTTAGAGTAGCCAAGGGAGTTGGCAGTGTGGGGCTGTTGACTAGCTGCCTTCCTTCTAATCCATCATCTCAAACTTGGGAGTGGCTAGTACTGTTAGCCTTTGTGTAGATTTCGGTGAAAATCTAAAATAAACAAACTTGGGTAGGCAGTCTTTAGCCTATGACCAGGTGTAGCCCATCAGATGATTTTACCTGGCCTGTGAGTCCTCTGAGAACAGAAATTTTAACATGCCAGGACAATCATCAATCTCAATTCGTCATATTCATTAAATTAGTCTGCATTTTGTTTATCTGCCTTGAATACAAACAAGGCACTGTCATTTTTACCTGTTCTGGACAAGTCTTTGCTTCTTCTCCATTGTGTTAAGTCCTGTAATATTTCCGTCTGAGTGTTGTTTAAAGAAGGTATTCATTTGGTCAGCTTCTTTTACATATTTCTTCAGCTGACCAATGAAGTGACTACCGTAGCAGACATTCTGACTTAATTTTTACTATATTCCAAATATTTCCATCTCTTATCTCCTAGAAGACTTAGGAAATAAGGGTTCTTGAACTCTGATGAATCTTGACATTTGCTTAAAAGTTGTGCCAAGTACAGTGCTAAAATTATAATTCACTCTTGTTCTGTTTGCAAAGCTACAGCAGTATTTAATAATTAGTTTGGTTTTAATTGGACATTTTGCTAAAATTTGCTTTGTTTAAAGACTTGCTTTATAATTATACACGTATCTATATATTTATTTATGATTTTATATGTATATAAAGAAAAATATGTATCATATATGTGTGTGTAAGAGTGAAGAGTCCAGAACCATGTTTATCTTAAACATATAGAAATATGCTCTTTCAGTGGTCATTCTGTCTATTGTTTGTCTTATACTTCAAGATATGCTCTTTCAGTGGTCATTCTGTCTATTGTTTGTCTTATACTTCAAGATATGCTCTTTCAGTGGTCATTCAGTCTGTTTGCCTTATATTTCAAAAAATGCCCTTTCAGTGGTCATTCTGTTTATTGTTTGTCTTATACTTCAAGATATGCTCTTTCAGTGATCATTCAGTTTATTGTTTGTCTTATATTTCAAAAAATGCCCTTTCAGTAGACATTCAGTCTATTGTTTGCCTTATATTTCAAAAGATGCCCTTTCAATGGTCATTCAGTATAGTGTTTGTTATAAATACTTCAAGACACTCATCCTTAGTGCTTTTTGTATGTTTTTTGTTTCTGCAACAGGATCTGATTTTTCAGTTCTTAAACCATTTACATTTTTTTAAATATATTTATTAAGCTTTGATTTCCAAGTAACCACTGCTTTTTGATATGCTGTTTTTGTTCCTGCATTGACTATTATTACTTTTTCTCAGTGCTTACACTGATTTGTTACATGTATCCTTCAGTATTTGATTCTTAGTACTTATACTAACTATTGTTACTTGTATTCCTCAAAAACAGCTTTCTTGGTGCTAAAAACCAATTATTGTTACTTGTATCTTTCAATATCTGTTTTCTTGGTGCTTATACTAACTATTGTTACTTGTATTCTATTGTTACACATATCCTTCAGAATCTGCTTTCTTGTTGTTTTTATATTGACTTTTGTTACTTGTATCCTTCAGAACCTGCTGCTTTCTTGGTGTTTACAGTGACCATTGTTACATGTATCCTCCAGAATCTATTTTCTCTTTGCTTATACTAATTATTGATTCTTTTATCTTTCTGGATTTATTTTCCCAGTCCTTATACTAACTGTATTATTACACATATTCATAAGAATCTGTTACTAGTCCTCACACTGAGATGTTTTTTTCAAACACCCATCAGACTCTGATTTCCCAATCCTTATAATGACTATTGTTACTTGTATCCCTCAGAATATGCTTTACTTTCCTAGTGCTGAAAATGGCAGTTTATTTTTTTACAACTATCAGAACCTTCTATCTTGTTGCTTACACAGATAAGCAGCTCTTGTAACTTTGAGGACTTGCTTTCTTTAGAATTCTATCGTTGTGTGTGTATATGCACGCACGCACACACTGATTCTGATTAACTCTTAAAACCTGTAATTTTTTGTCCATTCTGCTGTTGATCTGGAATTCATTTCAAAACAAATGAGAGTGCTTCACTGAACTTTGGGGATATTGATAAAAGGTGGATAATAACATGGTTTGGATTAGTTTTCAACCAAAAAGACATAAATGTTATTGAATTTTTTCACAATCTGTTGGATAAATTGAGATTTTTGGCCAGGCACTGGCACCGTCTGCTCACATTTAAGGAGTTAATATATTTTGGGAATCTATTTTAATGCTGAGTTTTAACATTTATGTATGGGTTACACACACACACATGTGAAGTGTGTGTGTGTGTGTTCCATACTGTTTTTGTACTTTAATGGGTTCTACATTAAGGTTTTTCAGATTTTGTCTTATATTTTGTGCATTTAGTTAAAAGTTGGAGGAGTAAATTTTAATACTAAAGAAAAGATTTTCGTTTACTATTTTAAGTGTGAGATTTACAACCAAATTATGGTGTTTTTTTCAGGCTTTTCTCATCTACCAAATTTTTCATCACGATTATGGTTAAAGATCTTGCAAAAAAAGATTGTAGGTTAATGCTTATAATAAACTTACTTTTGAATAAAAAGGAAAATGGTATTGTGATGAATCCATCACTATTTTCATATTTTAATGTGTGTGTTTTGTAAAAATTCTTGCAAATAGTTCATAATGCTATTGCATAAAACTCATGTTTGATTTTGTAACTCAGGACACTGATCAGGAAGGATCTGTAAGACTACAAGAATTTATGAGTTCCCTAGAGAGAGTGAAGTCTTGGCTTGTTAATGCAGAAGCTGAACTTGATACCTTGGAGAAACTCTCACCTGAAACTGAGTTTGGTCATTCACGTAAACAGAGACTAAAAGTGGGTTTTTAATTTTTTTATCTGAACCTTTTGTTAAAAAAAAGTAATTATAATTTTTATATAAGAAGTCACTTTTATTATTATATTTCTAGAGAGTGATATACAGAATATAAATGTAAATTCTGAACTAAGCTCTGATTTTTCTTTAACATGAGTGCTGGATATACAAGGCTATTTAGTATAGGTATTATTTATATATTTAATTTGTGAGTTAATATTTCATAATTGTTTAGTTTTTTTCATAACGAGAGTTAAAAGCAATTATTTCAAAGGCAATAGCTATGACAAGTTTGGTTACATAACTGGGTAAGAGTCATATGTTGTGTTTGCAATTCATTGGTGTTGAAGCTATAGAAAATTCTAGAGGCCTCAATGATAAACATATAAATAGCAGCAACCAAACAAGTGGGAGCAGAGTAAAAGTAAAGTCAAGTGAAAGTCATAGAAAGTTAGAAAATATGAAGTTAGCCATATTGTGAGTGAATACCCTTAATGGTTGATATGTTAAAGTGAGTTTAACAGGTTGGTAGAGATAAGAAGAAGAATTTTTCTTGTAAAAGGGTATTCTAAACTAATTGAACCAACCTGTGTGGACATTGATGAAAAGAAGACAATTATTTGAAGTTCAGGATATAACTGTGGTAACCCATGAGGTAGCACAAGTGAATTATTCACTGATACTATTGTAATAAAAGTAGGAGAAAAATAGTTTGGTTTGTCAGCTGGATTCTAAAGAAATTGAATCAGCCTATGTGGCCTTTTGACAAGAAGAAAACTATATACTGTTTAAGATACAACTGTGATCTCCATAGTGTAAAGAATTTTTGTACATACATTTAACTTGTTTTGAATATATAATTTTAAAACAAGTGGAGTGCATGCTGTCCATTTATTGTTCAAATTTATTGCCAACAAGACACAGACACCTACTGTAGAAGAATCCTTAACACCCACACATTTATACTTAAAACTCTAAAACAGATTGGTTTGCTCTTATCTAATATTTTTTGCCTCTCGTTTTAGTTTTATGTTGAATCATGTAGTAGCACTCTGGGGTAAAAATATTTATTTTATTTGATGATATTTTAATTGTGTGTCTCCCAAGAAGAACCTTATAGGTTATTTAAAAGCATTTTATAGCATTCTAACATCCAGGAAGTAGTTCTTGTACCTTTGCTTGTTTCTCTCTATCGTTAGTACAGCTAATCTTCTGATGCACCATTAATGTATGAAATCACTCTACATCTCTGGTATGATATGTATCACGTCATGGTGAACTACTGATCAAGAAATGTTTATTGTAAAGTGCATCCTTTCACTGTGATCTAATAGTGATACAGGAGAATATTTAATGAGAACTGTGTTGCTTCATGGTGGTCTGAAATAATATTTTGTATGAAGTGTGTTATTTCTTGGTGATCGGGAGCAATACCTCCTTTAAAGCGTCATTTCACAAGTACATATGATGCAGTAAGCACTTATTTATTACCCTTTCCATAGGGAAAGATGTACTTGTACTGTTTCAAAAGAGCTTTTATTTTCAACCATTAAAAAGTGTGAAAAATTAAATGGGGTTGATGTATGTTAATAATGATTGTTTTTACTGAAATTTCTATGCCAACTGGGTTTAAAGTTTGGGAAAATGTGCCCTTACTTTTCCTCGTAATTTCATTTTTAAAATTTGTTTTCTGTAAAATACTATATGTATTCATATAAAGTTTATAAGCATGCTACATTCAGTACTGTAGAACTTCAATTTCGTATAAGAAATCATGCTTGGTTTTGTAAAAATACCAGATCCTATTAATGTTTGTTTTTCCTCTAGACTTTGCATTCAGAATTAGTTGATATGAGCAGCAAGGTTGATGACCTACGAGATGATGCTCTTGAGCTCATCCGAGTGGGAGACAGGTACCAACAAACTGTGGAACCTGAGCTGACACACCTAAATCAACGCTGGGACACTGTTTCAGACAGAATTAAGGTATTTTTTCTGTTTAAAATATCAAATACTCATTCAGGGTGTTTATGTATTTTCATATTTCAAGGCTCTACATGTTTTAATTGTGATAGAAATGTAAATTTTGTGTCCAAGTAGTCAGGTATTATAGTATATATATGACTTTTGATAAAATACTTCACATTTCTTTAAAGAAAATTTAAAACTGTGAATTAGTAACACAAGTGAAAATATATATATTTGAACCATGTCATTTTGCCATAGTATGTGCTTTGTTAACCATAAAGATGTATTACTTGGAGCTCTCCTGATAGGGATAAGTTTTAAGTTTTTAATTCTTGCATGTAAGATTATTCTTATGATATTTTGTCACGGGTAAATGTAATTATAAGGTGTAAAACATAATCATGCAAGAGAAAGATGTCAAACTTGTAACTTTCTTTCGTGGATTATCTTTTAAAAATCCCGGAAAAAAAGCAATAAAAGATCAATTTTTACAGATAGTAACATAGTTGCTATTACTTATTCGTAATAATATAAATATACTCTATTTATAATTGTGTAATGGGTAACAGAGGTGTTAGTCTAATTGAAGGCAATTTCTTCCACTTATAACTGAATTGAGAACTTTTGTTTCATATTTGATGCAACTATTATTGATGCAATGAGTGATTTCTTTCCTTATTTAAAGCATGGTATTTAACCAAATACTAAATATGTGTTTTTAAAGAAATTGGACAATGTTATTGTGGACTTTAAAAGTGTCAGACATGATATATCAGAATGTTAAATAAGAATATAATATATTCATGTATGTGTGTGTGTTTGCAGAGTGTCAGTGAAACTATGTGAATGCAGTGGAATGATGCCATGAATCATAATTTTGGTACATATACATATATATATTTAATTTGTGACAAATTCTCAATCTTTTAAAAATACAATGCTGCCAAGATTCGATTGACAGCTGGATGAATGTATCAGTCTTTTCGTGGGAAGGATATTTGTGTAGCGAGATTAAATGACACAGATTCAAAAGACAATATTTCAAAGAATGGAGCCTATATTATTGCACAAAAAAACAAAGAAAAACTTGTATGGCAGAGCACTTAAAACAGCAGCATGCTCCAAAACCACACCCCAAGCCAATCTGCAGAGTGAAATCTGTGATTATAAAAGAGAACCTTCTGAACCATTGAGATGAAGCATAAATGTTATTGTACCAAACAAAAAGGCTTACATTCCAGAATCTAACAAGGTTACATCCATAATTTAAAATCAATGGCTATTTTCATGAAACAAGATGGCTAAAGAATTTGGAATTATAATAATTATGTTCACCCATTTACCTGTCAAATTCCCTGATGCAGCTTTAGTGAACGTTTCTACTTTTCGTCTACTGAAACATGACCAACATCCACACACTGTAGAGGTTCCATGATAAGTTTTTCAATATGTGTGGTTAAGATTTATTTCAATGTCCTTTGCAAAACTTGTCACAATGGAAATTGCAGTTTTTGGCATTAGTGCATAAATATGGCAATCACATTAGACTTGTTCAAGAGTGGAGGAAACAGACTCAAGACTCTAGAATGTTATTTTTATAAAGTGTGATTAACATCAATGTATATGTGAAAACATGACCATGAGTTCTGTGAGTGTGGTAAACGTGTGTACTGTCCCTTACGAGCAGTACTATCTCATCTTAGTTGGTTTTGAAACCAGTTACTAACATAGCCATAATACCCCTAAGTTATTTCTGAAGAAAGATTACACTATTTGTCTAAATTGATCAATAGATTTGTAATTTGTTTATGAAATATTAATGATTTCATTGAAAATGTATCTTAGTTATAATATCTATCAAAATAAAGATACATCAATGAAGTTGTCTGTTCCCCAAAGCAGCATCCATCATTCCCCAACCAGTAATTTTTCAGGTCCTATCAGTGCAGATGTAGAATCTAATAGACCCAATTCCAGGCCTGCTTAATTAGTTCGAATGTTAGTAAATGTACATGCCCATATTACTCCTAGGTTATTTGATTTTAATACTAAACATAGTAAGTCAATTTTAAACACTATTTATGTGACTTCTGAAGAATTATTACCAGCAAAAACAGCAGGGCCGAACAGAGGTGGTGATTGAAGTCCAGAGAAGTATTGTAACAGAACTTCGGGCTTCTCCAGTTCAGCTGTCATCTTCTGAACCAGGATCTCCTCGACTGGAAGATTTGATAGTAAAACTTGATGACACCTTGAAATCCATAGATAATTTGGACAAAAAATTTAAAGATGGCTATCATCTTCAGTCTCCTGATGTGACACGAGAAATTGATGAAATAGAAAAGGTATAGTAAAATTTTCCTCTGACATAATGTTAAATTAGTAAAACAATATTACGCTTCGTATACCAGTAGTTTAATTGGCGCAGTATTTTAGGTAGTATTCTATGTTACTTTAAAATCTTGGTAGGTAAAAAATAAAGTTCTATTGATTAGTTTTATATGATGTTGAAATGCAAATAAAATTATTGACTAATGTTGATATGTGGAACAGATTTTCACTATTGTAATATTGCACTTAAAATTAATAAACTGTAGAGATTACTGATATAAGTAGTATAAATCGTTTTATTACAGATCACAAAAACAAGCATCACAATGTTTTAACCTGTTCAGATTTCTTATCAGATTAAGGAGATTCAAAACTGATCATTAAAGTAATTACAAACAGATTATATATTATTATGCAAAAATAAAAATATTCAAATACCAATTTTTAAGGAACATTCTAGTTTAATCTAGAGTTCAAATAAAAGTATAGTATGATCATCGAGTTGGAAAGGAGTAGAAAGTAAACTAAACACACAGCAGTAATTAGTGAAAGTTCTTAGTGTGGGTTTAAACATGTCCTTTGGTATTGGTTTAACGTGGGTTTTTGCATTTGTACTACAAGAGTTTTTATATTTTTTGTTTATGTTGGCTTCCTTGTTTAGTATTTTTGCATTTTCTGCAGGTATATTTATTTGAATAGCAGTGTTCAAAAACATGAAATGCTGTTGTTTTCTGTTTTGTAACTTGTTTTGCTTATATGAAACTCATTATGGGGGTGAATTTGCATTTTATAGATGTTATGAAGATTAACAGGTTTTTTAAGCACAAATTAAGTAACAAAAACGTGAATTTACAAAAATACAAAGTTAATTACCCAACTACTTTGGATGTACCACATATGTAGAAATTAGTTGGGTAATTAACTTTGTATTTTTGTAAATTTGTGTTGCTTTCATACTTAATTTGTGCTTAAAAAGCTGTTAGTCTGTCCTTATAACAACTAAATGGTTATTATAACGTTGTGATGGATGGTAAGTTTTTTTTTCCCAAATGTTAGTTATTTTGTTACTTATTTCTCTCCTGTAAAGTATACAGCAGTGTAGTGTTTCATTAGATTTGGGGTTAGTGGTTGGGTGTTTATTGTGTTTTTGATGAATGTTTCTTTGTGTAATATTTTTTACTTTTGGAGGAAAATTGTTCAAGTCAATGAAGTGTTTTAGTTGATTAAGTTTATCATTAAAGTTGTTGGGTGAGCAGAGCTTTGTAGGTGTATTAATTAGTTTTTCTAGTACATTAAGTTTTTGTTTTGTTTCATGTACAGAACCTCAGGGGATGTACAGCCAAATATGAGTTGTTATTTTTCTATGAATTTTGTTTTGAAATGAGTATCGTGTCTTGTGATATTGAAGTTGATAGTTGTCAATTGTTCATCTTTTTTCATATTCTGTGATAAATTTAATGTTGGGGGAGGGTCTACTTTGGTCCAGTCTAGCACACACAGAAAGAAAACAGTGATAAAGAAGTCTTTAAAGTGGTTTATATCTGATAAGATGCCATTTATTTTGTCTATATATTCATCGATATTCATGATTACAGTGGCATCTATTGGCTTGAATATGTTTGTGTCTGATAAGATGCCATCCATTTTGTCTATATATTCATCGATATTCATGATTGCAGTGGCATCTATTGGCTTGAATATGTTTGTGTCTGATAAGATGCCATCCATTTTGTCTATATATTCATCGATATTCATGATTGCAGTGGCATCTATTGGCTTGAATATGTTTGTGTCTGATAAGATGCCATCCATTTTGTCTATATATTCATTGGTATTCATGATTGCAGTGGCATCTATTGGCTTGAATACGTTTGTGTCTGATAAGATGCCATCCATTTTGTCTATATATTCATTGGTATTCATGATTGCAGTGGCATCTATTGGCTTGAATATGTTTGTGTCTGATAGATGCCATCCATTTTGTCAATGTATTCATTGGGATTCATGATTATAGTGGCATTTCCTTTATCAATTTGTGTTGTTTTAATGCTTTCTTGTGTTAGATAATTCATACATTTATTCATGGTAGAAATATCATTGAACTCTTAGGAATATTATATGTTGAAGTGTACAAAAGACCTTCACTAAATTGGTAGAAATATCATATGTTAAAGTGTACAAAAGACCTTCACTAAATTGGTAGAAATATCATATGTTGATGTGTACAAAAGACCTTCACTAAATTGGTAGAAATATCATATGTTGATGTGTACAAAAGACCTTCACTAAATTGGTAGAAATATCATATGTTGATATGTACAAAAGACCTTCACTAAATTGTTAGAAATATCATATGTTGATGTGTACAAAAGACCTTCACTAAATTGGTAGAAATATTGTATGTTGATGTGTACAAAAGACCTTCACTAAATTGTTAGAAATATCGTATGTTGATGTGTACAAAAGACCTTCACTAAATTGGTAGAAATATTGTATGTTGATGTGTACAAAAGACCTTCACTAAATTGGTAGAAATATTGTATGTTGATGTGTACAAAAGACCTTCACTAAATTGTTAGAAATATCATATGTTGATATGTACAAAAGACCTTCACTAAATTGGTAGAAATATCATATGTTGATGTGTACAAAAGACCTTCACTAAATTGGTAGAAATATTGTATGTTGATGTGTACAAAAGACCTTCACTAAACTTTATAGATTTGTATAGCAGAATTTCACAAGTTTTGATAGAAATGTTGTCAAATATGTCGATATGTGTGCAAATACATTCAGTGAACTTGGTAGGAATTTTTATTATTATGTTGAGGCATATAAAAGACTTACATTAAACTGGACAGGAATATTATTCTACTGACTTCTGTTAAACTTGGTAAGAATATTTTCTGATGTGTTGCCTTTTACAAAAGACTTTCAATAAAGTTATAGGATATTTTGTCATGTTTGAGTACAGTCTTGTGGTGACATAGCTTAACTTTTTTTTTATGTATATAAAATTATTACTTTCCATCTTATTTTTATTCCATGCATCTAAAATGGAGTTTCTGAATTTTTCCCTGAGACATTAAATAAATAATGCATGCATGTTATTAAACTGTAAGTTTAATACTGATACGTTTTGTTTTTCAACAAAAAACTTCTATAAATGTAAACAAAACTCTGATAATCATTTTAGCAAAATAGAGAGGATATTGGAAAAATGGACTCTCGAGTAGTACAGGTTAGCACAGAAGGGGATAAAATGCTTCATCGAATTGGTCCATCAGAATCTTCTCAAGTCCTCCAGATAAAGAAGAAATTGGAAGGCATTTCTAAAAATTGGAGGATGGCTAAGAAAGAAGGAAATGCTCAACAACAGAAACTAAGGGAGTTAAGGTCAAACTGGCAGAAGCTGGAAGAAGAACGTGACAGAGTACTTGCCCAACTTGTTAGCCTTCTTCAAAACTTAGAACAAGCTAGGAACAGTCAGCAGCAACAGAAAGTGAGAACCAATTACTATAGCTTAAAAAAGTTATTTGAAGTAATTACATTCATGATGATGATGGGAATTTAAGTACAAACTTTATTGTTGTTGTTTTTCTAACAAAATGTAATTATGTCACGACTAATGCGTATTTAGTATGCAAAACTTTAAAAAGACAAAACCAGAAGCCTAAAAACAAAATCTTCTTTTTTTTTTTTTATAACAAACATTATGTAGTTTTTGCTAAAATAATTCTTTAGACCATGCTTACAACTTTTATTTCCAATCAATAAAAGGTTTGCATGAATATAATTTCTTCAGACTTTACTTGTTTCATTTTAGACTGTTTCAACGAACACTCCAATAAGTGACATTAAAGGGCTTGAGTGTTTCAGAAATATAAGCCGTCAGTGTAAAAAAAGTCTTAAAAATTCTTATTTTGTAAAGACGTTTTGGGGGTTTCCTGAACTAATTTTCTGTCAAAATATAAGACTTATCTAATGTGTTTGATATACTGCTTGATGTACACATCAGTTATAAGTATAATACAACCAATTTCTCCTGATTTGGATAATCTGAGATTATTCAACGGTATGAACTAAAGATTCCATGCAGACCTGATTTTTCTGAAATATGATTATCAAATTTTTATCGATTCATAAGTCTAACTGTTTTGTACAAACTCCTACCAGAAATTAGTTAAAATGATGTGTGATAAATACGAAGCAGTGCACAATCTAGGTAAACTTGATACGCATATTAGTAGCTGTTGACTAACATAGCTTCAGTTTTTCTTATCTGAAAACAGTAGTAGTGGCTATGCTAATTAACCTAATGTCATTTTCTAATTACTACAATGGAGGACTTTTTAAATCATACATTATAATTATTTTTATTGTTAATTATTCTCTAAAAAAAAATTCAAAACTACATAAATTATAGGCTAACCCTGTAATATTTAAAACTTCAAACATCTTTTTCTTAATAAATTATGTTTTAATAATTTTAATACTTAATGATTTATTAAGTTTAACATGATAGATCAGCTTAAAAAGTTCTAAGTAAACACCGAAATTACTTTAATAGTGGAAAAATGATAAAGTTGTTGTTGCTCTTTTGAATTTTAAATAAAGTCATTGTGGACAACAGATAGTATATTTTTGTGGACCATAATCTAGAATAAAAAGTAAGATTTTCTCCTGAAGTTCAAGCAATTACAGTTTTATATGTGTCATACATCTTTTCATTTGATATGTAGTTATCGGAAATTTGATGTGTATAGCTTGTTTATTAGAAGTCACATGTTTATTAACTAGCTGAATATAGTGTTATTCAAATATTAAGCTGCATAAAATTATTAAAAAAGACGTTTACATTTTTGGAAATTATTTCTAGTAAATGCTGTTAACCAAGTTGCTGATTTTCAGAGTATTGTGTCTGAGGTACTATTGATTAATTTAGGCATACTTTATATATCTTGTCCTACCTTCAGGCTGTACAAGAACAAGCTGGTAAAGTTGGCCAAGAGGTGGCAGCACTACAACAACAAGCCAAGGTACTACAGGAACAAGGAGTACCGCACAGTGCTCTACAGTTTCTGCTCCAACGACTAGTCCAACTGTGGCTTCAGGCTGAAGCCCAGCTTAGTACTCTGCAAAAACCAGAGTTTCCACACACCAAAACTGTGGTTACTCAGACAGAAAAGAGCCCAGGCACTGAAATTAATAACTCCAAAACTGAAAATGTCTCTTCAAATTTTATTGCAAAAGTTGACAAATTGAGAGAAGCTATTGCCTCTGTTAACCGACAACTTCACCAGCCAGAACTTGTTGGTAAAGACTTTGAAGAGTTTATCAAGCAGGAGAGTGAATTAAAGGTGCATTGCAAAGTTCTGTGAATTCATTCCATTTTAAAATATTAATTGTATTGATTACAAATTGCTATTTGAATCTCAACATTGGATTGATGATTGTTTCTTACCCAAAAATAACACAATTTTAATACGTAATTCATTTATATTTCAAAAACTGAACTTGTTTATTGTAGCAGTTTTGACATAAATTATATATCTTTATCTAAATAGAAACTTACTCAATTAAATAAATATTAGTTTCTGAGGCAGTTTTTTATCACTTAATATTATCAAATTTAAAAGTATTTGATACATTATAGTTGAGAGAAATTAAGTATCATATAATTTAAAGCAGGTCTAGACCAAAAGCCATAAACTAGCATAGTTATATTTTAATTAGATCTTTCACCATGTACTAAAACTCATCAACTCTGTATTCAGGCACTTTGTAGAAAAACAACAACAAATCCTTAATATTTTTGTAATTGAAAAAAGTCAAAAGTCAGAGAATAAGATAGGATACACATGAGTGATACATTAGTCTGACTTAAAATTCCCCAGATTATTTGTAAAAGAGCTAGAGGTAATTCAGCCTGCACAATCAACATAAGGTAAAAATGAACTATCCACTTCGTATATTTGTTTGCTTTCAAATATTACAGGTTGTGAAAGGTGCCTTAGAATCGCTGAAACCCAACCTTGAAGCAGTGAAAGTTGAAGGTCAAGCACTGGTTAAAAAAAAGTCTGGAACAGAAAGCCAACAGCTTTCCAGGGTGCTGGACAAACTTTCTGAGGAATGGACAAAAGTGAAACAAGCATATACAGAAAGATACAAGTGAGATTGGACTTCTGTATTTTAATAACACACAAATTGAATATATTTGTTAGGAAACAAGATAGTGCATTTTTCACATTCATTTTAACTTGTAGAAAAATTTGAATCAGTACATCTAAGGGAATGTGTTAAAAACACATCTATCAGTTATTAGTCAGAAAAATATTTAGGCTCAAGAAGTCTTGGTATAAAATGATAAAACCCTATAACTCTAACACTTTTGAAAGGTTTACATTTCAAAAGCACTTAGGTTATAGGGTTTTTATCATTTAATATCAATTATTAGTTATAGTGGAAAAAAAATAAGTGGTATAGTTTGTAGGCTGTAGTATAACTCCTTGCTTATTATTTCTAAACATTAAAAATCTTTCTCGTGTAAAACTAAAGAATAACTTTATATAAAAAAAAAAGGCAGACAGTCTTTAGAACTATTGCTACAGTATTTCTTCAAAGCCTACAATTTATGGCAGACAGTCTGTAGAACTATTGCTACAGTATTTCTTCAAAGCCTACAATTTATGGCAGACAGTCTGTAGAACTATTGCTACAGTATTTCTTCAAAGCCTACAATTTATGGCAGACAGTCTGTAGAACTATTGCTACAGTATTTCTTCAAAGCCTACAATTTATGCCACCTTTTTACTCTATTTAGCAAGAACTTTAGTTTATCTTAAAAGAACAGGAATGTGTATGATGTCATATTTTCAGAAGTAGTTTATTGCAGTATTTTAAAACTTCGTGATTGTTTATGTAAAGTGAAACATTCATTTGCACTACCCTTAATTAATAATAAAAACGTCTACCTAGACTAATCAATCAGGCTAACAAGTATCCAACTTTGTGTTAGTTTAAATGTGGAATCTGCCTGGCATAATTTACTTTTATACACCCACCTTAGTACTTTTTTAATCATCAGAGAAAGATGACATTCTTAAACTTCATTTTTATAGTGAAAATGTAAAAAATAAGGATCATACTTCAGTAATTTTCAAAAGCTTTATCAAATTTTGCCAATTTATTTAGGTTTCTTGAGTACTTTTTGGTAGTTTTTATTAACTGATACAATTTTGAACATAATAGAATATAATTATGTTTCTTTATTTTTCAGTCGTTGGCTCAAAGCTAGGGACGTGTGGCAGAAGTTTGATACCAGCTTACGAACACTAAGTAATTGGCTGTCTGAGACTGAGACTATCCTTGTGCGTACAAGACTCCCTAGTGGTGATCTTGACTTTGAAAAAGCTCGAAGGCACCAAGAGGTAACTAATCACCAGTCTAGATTATTTATAATTATAGCATTTGTTACCAGAGTTAGCACTTATTCAGAAAAACCTGCATATTTCATATACACATAAAAAGATGCACACATTTGTATTTGTAAAAGATCTGTGTGTATATCATACCAAATTTTTTTTGTTCTTTTTTTTTTTGCTATAATTAAATGCATATGCCCTGTAGTCACTAAACCTAACTAAGCTTACCTGATGTCTTATCATAAAATAAATTTTTGGTGTTTTCAGATAGGTAATCTAGCATCAAAATGTAAACATGGGATGGAAAGAAAAATTCGTCAAAAATCTATAAGTTAAAAATTACTACATGTAACATCACACACAGTTGCATCCTTTTTTTTGTTTTAGCATGTTGTGTTTGCAATACATAATTTTTAAAACTTAAGTGCATCCTCTGGTTACTTTAAAGTATTTACTTCCGTATACTTAAACTTTTCTGAAATATTTTTTCTGTGGATCGAAATGCACTTCAAAATTATCACATTTGTGTGGATACTATTAGATAAATAATTGTTTATATAAAGAGTCTGCATTAGTCCACAAAATAACTTGGCAGTTAATCAGACTTAATTTTGCAAAATAATGGCGAGGAAGAGAAGAAATTATTTTTCTGAGAAGAAAAAAATCGGAGAATAGGAGTGACATCCCTCTAATTGTGTGAGAAAAAATTTTCGTGGTATGAACAGGTGGGGATGTTTAACTGCAAGTTAATCTTAATTGGCCTAAACATAAGCAGCTAACACCTAGCATGATATTACATCTTCCTTTTCTTTTATTTCAAAAATGCATTTTTCCTGGAAGTTATTTTATTTGTAGACACTTATTTCTAATATCCCATATTCTGAATTTTCGTGCATCTTTTTGTATACGTACATCATATAGAGCTGAGAATGTTGTGATAAACTTATAACTGATAAACAAAAAATCAGAATCATGTTATTATCTGTTCTGGTATGAGTATAACAAAAGATGATGAGCACAATGCTTGAACAAAGTGTATTGTTCAATCTTAAATATTTTCAAGACAAGTCAACATTTGTCTTTACAAAATCTTTAGTGGGAAACTTTTTTTGTTATTATTACTTCTCCTAGGAAAGTAGTAAAATTAATTGGAAAAAAACAACATAAAATACTCTTAAATTGAAATAAATGAGTTACTTTTGTTTTATGATTCCTGTTTTAATATAGTCTATGTTTTAGCACTTCCCCACATGTTTAGGACTTGTGAGATCATTTGGCAGTGAAAAAAAGATTTGAATAAAAGACTTGAAACTGTTGTGAAGAAGTTCAGTTGTTTTTGGCTTAGTTTGAGATAAAATTTTGTATAATGGTGCTATGATATTTTAAGAATTATTTTCCAGTTATTCACAGTTTTCATGACAGTAGTTTTGTTGCTTTAACAAATTTGTTGCTGAAAATTCATCTGAACTGTCCTGTTTTTGGTCATTAGATGTGATTCTGTATTGACATTTCTTCCTAGACCTGAATATGATTTTTACTAGAGCTAAGTGTGATATAAAAACAATGTTTTCTTCCTAGAGCTAAATGTGATGAAAACACTGCTTTTATGTCACATTTATCTCTAGGAAGAAAACACTGCTTTTATGTCACATTTATCTCTAGGAAGAAAACACTGCTTTTATGTCACATTTATCTCTAGGAAGAAAACACTGCTTTTATAACTGCTTTTATGTCACATTTAGCTCTAGGAAGAAAGAACTGCTTTTATGTCACATTTATCTCTAGGAAGAAAACACTGCTTTTATGTCACATTTATCGTTAGGAACTTTCTTCCTAGAGCTAAATGTGACATAAAGGCAGTTCTTTCTTCCTAGAGCTAAATGTGACATAAAAGCAGTTCTTTCTTCCTAGAGCTAAATGTGACATAAAGGCAGTTCTTTCTTCCTAGAGCTAAATGTGATATAAAGGCAGTTCTTTCTTCCTAGTGATAAATATGATGTCAAATTTATATTCTCTTACTAGAGTTGAATTCTAAATAGAAACATATTTTATTGAGCTGCATATTATCTGAAAGTAATATTTTCTTCCAAGAGCTAAATATGATGTTAGATTTGTTTTTTTTTTATGTGTTGTTATTTTTTTATTTAATTTTTTTGCAGAGCTTACAACAACAAGTCACGGAAAAGATGACCCTTCTGGAATTGGTCACAACTACTGGCCGTCGAGTGGCTGAACAGTGCTCCCCACCAGATGCTGTCTTGTTGCAAGAACAGTTAGACTCGATCAACCGACGCTGGAAGAGTTTAGTAACTGATCTTGCTTCACGCAGAGAAAAGTTAGTTGCTACTTTCAGGACACAACTAATATAGTTTTCACCCTTATCGTGTTTTAAAAAGTGCGAAGGACCTTTTTACTAGAAATAAATGGTTAAGAATTCAACTTTAGTTATCAATTTCATATCAGGAAAGATATGCATAAAGATGATTCATCTGCTGATGTAGCTAGCACTTATACAGTCTAAGCATAACCAGTGTATTCATACAAACTGTATATATGTACACATACATATATCTGAGCAAGATGCACTATGAACAGAAATGAACCCTCTAAAAAATTCCTTGCAATATCCATGTACACAGAGCACTGAGTATGTTATATTAACAAAAATTTCGTATATGCAAATCAAAAAATCATGTGACAACCATGGCCGATATAAAGTCATAGTGTAAAGTGGCTTTTATCAGAACTACATTTTGACATTGTTTGCTGTTTCGTGGATAGTATGATGCCACCATAAATTGTTTGATGTTAGAGAGGGTGTGTAACAGCCATTTCCAGTGCAAAATATTCATACACTCGGATCATAAAGATGTGTTCAGATTGGGAATTTAGAATTTTTAAGACAGTGATATCACTTGTACTTAATAGCATTGGGAAACAAAGGAAGATGGATTAACTTGGGGTATCAGAACAATCCAAAATAAGACATACTACAAGTCATACTCCAATCTTGGTAAGCAGTGTGTGATGGTTTATAATAGGTGAGGATTCATAAAAACAAAGGGCAATGACAAAATACATCCACATCTCCCAGGAGGCAGTATACAATATAGTTTAGAAAGATCTCCATCTGGAAAAATGACATAAGTTACATGTACACAAGTTGCTTCCACGGCATATCTATTTAACTATCCACATACCTCTGGCAGCTGGAGAATCAAATTGGTATTCATGCTATTTAATATGAAGACATATTATTAAAGTCACAGGAAGCAGATCTTATGGATTTTTGTGTTCTCAGTCTGCCGAACTGGTACTGGAAACTGTCATCCTCATACATTAGATAAATTATGAGAAACCTGTATGAAGGAGGGGTGTGCTTTGAATACAATGGTGAGGCCTTTTGCAGTAGAAAGTTTGTTGGAGGAGTTTTGTCTAAATGCGTGGTAATCAGATAGAGCATGACCATATATGGCAAAATAGGCTATAATGATATGGTAAAGCTCCAAAATCATTTTAATATGAATACTCAACCAGTGTAGTCCATTGTTGTCAGCAGGTTTTAGAATCAGTGTACTCAGAATATCATACTTTCTTCTTCAGCATAGCTATTGGTAATTAAGATTTTGTGAAAGAAAAAAAGTTTTACAATTTATGTTTCTTTATTTTGTCGGGGTTTCTGTGTATGAACTGAAGCTAAAAAAAATATTCCATACATTTAATATTAATGTAGTATCACAAACTTTAATATTGCAGACCCATTTCAGTTCATAAAATGTAATATGTTAAATTTGTTCTTTATTACAGATTAGAAAAAGATGGTAGTCAGCTTGCTGAAGTTAAAGAAGAAATGTTGGATTTAATTTTTTGGTTGGATGAGACAGAAACATTTGTGTGTGGTACACCATATCCAACTGACATACCTGGCATCAAAGAAACTTTAGAAAATCTCAAGGTTTGTACTAAAATAACATGTTGTTCAAAGAATGACTATTAACTTCTAGTAAAATAATTCATTAAACTATTTTCCAACAGCATTATGAGTGTATTGATACGTGGTCACTGTACAGTATTATTACTGCCATGAAAAAAAAGCAGAATGTAAATTATACAATACAAAACTTACTAGTGAAAAATAATAAATTTTACAAAGATAGAAATGTGTTGCTCTTTGAGTAAATTATAGGCTGCTATACTCTACCAGAATTTAAACTTTCTCCATTCCATCCTAAGTTAGCGTATATATGTTTTTAGAAACATTATACAATAATATAAACCAGTTTTCTACTACTGACTTTAGTATAGTAGGTTTGAGTTTCAGTTGAACTAAATACTTTGATATCCATTAACTTGCAAATTTTGTGTAAGATTTGTTTTCACTTTCAAACTATTTCTAGTTCTACTAGCTTTAGAATTTGCTGGAAGTCAGAAATAAAGGTTTATTCTCATTACATTAATGTAGATTTTTTGAATAAATAGATTGTTTAAACAAAACAACAAAAACACAACGAATAGCCTTCTTCAAAAACTACGCAAACATATGAAAACTTTCAAGAAAATCAAACTTAAATTAGGAGATATACAAATAAAAATGAGTAACAACATCAAATTTTTCGGTATCACCTTTGACGCTCATCTAACATGGAACAAACACATTCAGAACATACTTGCCTCGATTAGCAAACGTATCAACTACATAAGGATCATTGCAGGCAAACACACCCACAACATTCTCTAAAAATATACAAAACGTTTGTATGCCCACTTATAGAATGTGGCTGTCAAATAACCTATAAAATGTCAGAAAATAACCTTAAAAAACTACAAATACAACAAAACAGAGCAATAAGATTAGCCCTAAGGCTTCCAAAATTTACCCCAGTAAGTTACATACATAAAATCAGCAACCTGCCCAAAATATTATTAAAAGAGTGGAAAATAGAAATAAATTGAAAACTGCACTACACACGAACTTACAAGCTTCCCTATCTACTATCTAGCGAAAACACAGCCAAGGGAACGGGCTTGGAGAAATCAGCTTACAACTTACAAGCGTCCCTACCAAACATACTTTACCATATAATGTAACGAGATTCCCACTGTCCCTATCTACTATCTAGCGAAAACACAGCCAAGGGATCGGGCTTGGAGAAATCAGCTAACAACTTACAAGCGTCTCTACCAAACATACTTTACCATATAATGTAACGAGATTCCCACTGTCCCTATCTACTATCTAGCGAAACCACAGCCAAGGGAATGGGCTTGGAGAAATCAGCTTACAACTTACAAGCATCCCTACCAAACATACTTTACCACATAATGTAACGAGATTCCCACTGTCCCTATCTACTATCTAGTGAAACCACAGCCAAGG